ACTACCTTCCATTTTAAAAGAAAGACATCTTTGAAGAAAACAGCCAGCAAACAACCTAAGAATCATATCATCTCAGATTCACATTTCCCAATGGACTTCCTAGTTCTCTACAAATAAAATCTCCCGCTTACTCAGGTTCCTCACTCTAATGATTGGGAGGTGGAAGCGTTGGAGGAGGGAGTTGTGTCTAGAGAGACTGGAGACATCCGATCAGAATTCAAGGCAGCTTCTCTCAACTCTCTTGTTTATAGAAAATGAATGTCTGCCTGGCTTGCTTTAGTTCAGGAAAGGGGTCAGTCTTTATCAGCACGGTTCACACAGATTCTAGATTTTTTTTCCCTTATCTTAAATTGACCCGCTTTTAAGATAAAGACATAATAGAGAAAGTATTGACCTTACCTGGTCCCTAATGAGTTGGAAGTCAGAAAACCTCGCTCTCATTTCCTCTTATCTCGATCGCCTGGGAAGAAATTCGCGCTACCTTTTGTGCACTTTCGCCTTGAGATAGCCCCTCACCAGCGCCCAGACGCCGCGGAGCGCGCGCGCTCTGCGGGTGTGCGGCCTCTAAAGTCTGAGGATTCGTCCTGGGGTCTCAAAATCGAAGACTACTACGATGCCAGATCCAAGCCTTTTCGCTGGAGCTCCCTAGCACAACCTCGGAGGATATAAAATCCTTTGGAAAGCGAGCCGCTCCCCCATGAAAGGCCAAGCCCTAAGCAGTGGGAAGTAGAGCTGCCTCCGGCTATGCCCTCCGACTGGAGCGCTGGGGGCCTCCCCGCCCCCAGGACTAGGTGCCCAGAGCGAGTCTCGCCGAGGGGGTCCCCGATGTGGCTTGCAGACTCCAAGCTACTTCCCATCCTGCCAGCTCCTATCCAGAGCCACTGCGGGCTCTCCTAGGCACCCGATGCCTTCACCCGCCTCCCATCCTTGAGGTGCCCCAGTTGTGGAAGCAGCAACACTGGATCCCTTCCTCCCCGCCTCTGGGCATCTCTGTTTGGTTCTTCACGCCTCCCAGAGCCCAGTCCAGTCCACGGACCGCCAGCTGAGAAGGCTGCTTTCCTTCCTCTCCTGCCCGCAGGCCCACAGCTCGGGGTTCCCAGACTGGGGCGGGGGTGGGTAGCCGCTTTGGGATGCTAAACATCAAACAAACCCAGCCTGGGGTTTCAGGCCCTGAAGCCACTAGAGCGGCTCTCCAGGGCTCTCGAGATAGTCCTCCTGTTTACATGGCCGAGTGGGGGTGGGGTGGGGGATAGGAGGAAAGGGGGAGATGCTATCTGCAAAATCTCCCCCATTCCCGGAGCCTTTGGGGCCTAGGGTTGGGTGGGGGTACTTTGGAAGGGGCAAAGTTTCTCGGATATAGCTGAACAAACTGATCTGCCCCCTCACGTGAGGGAAGTTTTCAACTCTTCCAGCACCTCAACGCCAGATGCATTCCCAGAATACTGATTTCTCGTTCAGGGAAGCCAGTAACTACCAGGACCCGAGTTACTGAAAACCTAAAATAGGAGACTCCACGAGAGGAAGGAGGGAACCTTCCTTCCCCGAACATCAGCACACTCGTAAAGAGACGTTTAAGACTGCTTTCCAGGGCTACTTCCTGCAGCTGCAACAAATCCCTCAGCTAGGACCGGGAGCCAGTGGACCCGGGCTGACTGATGGCGAGAGGCGGCGGAGGCCCTGTTTGTATAGGTCCCATCCGCAGACCCGGCTGAATTCACCTTTTCCCGGGACAAGTAAACAGACTTCAAACTAAGCCGGCGGGGAGAAGAATGTGTTTGATAGAAACTCCATCCTGTGATAAGGCCAAGAATATCACAGCACACTAAACCGGTGACTCCCAGGAACCGGCCCCCGGGTAGAAAACAGGCAGGGGGCAGCACAGTGGCGCGCGCCATGTCTCTGTCCAGGTTAGTCCCTTGCCCAGCCACCCTAAGCTGGGTGCCTTGTCACAGAAGGAAAGCTGTCCCTTACACAGCAAATGTTCAAACTTTTTGATTGTTTTCCCAAATGCAATGCCTCCTGAAATTTCCCCAAACCGGCTCACTCTTTAGACCTAACCAACCATCCTTTCAGAATCTTCATGTCCCACCTGGATATTGAAAACTTATCTCAGTAGCCAGGCCTGGTTTCTGAGGGAGAAAGCTCACACTAACCCCTGGTTCTAAGGCACACAGAGAGGCCTCCTCTGGAAAACAGTGAAAAGGACTGCTAGATGCCAGGCAGGCACTTCTGGCTTTCTGCTTCATTTACAAAGTCTTGGGGATAAAGCTGGGGATGTGGTGAGGGTATTGGAAGGGAAACTTGGAGACTGAATGAAATGGAAAGAAGAGGAAGAAAAGAGGGAAGGAAAAAAGCATGAAGGGGAAAAGAAAGTTGAAAATCTAGGCAAGGCGTGAATGCATGCCAAATATGAATCAATCTTCAACAAGAAGTACTTCCAGACCTAGAGGAAAGTGCTAGGAGGGGCATCTTCTGTAGTTTCTCTGTAGTTTCATCAGGGGTGACAGGAAAGGAATAACAGCCCATCCAAGGGACTATAATGTTTCTCTCTGATCACAAACATTTCTTCCACCACCAATACCCCTGGCTCACCACAGAAACCTCAATATTTCCCCCAACACATATAACTGAAAGCTGGGATCAGGAAATTAGAGATTGAAAAAAGGAGCAAAAATTATTTTGTTGGGGGGCGGCAGGAGAAAGAGGCATCACTGCAAAGATTTAGAAAACAGAGATGGAAATCTCAGGAACAAAGAATGAAACCCCAGCTTTCAAAGTCCTGCCAGAGGGATCCTCATTCCAGCCATCTAGTTAAAGATACTGACCAAGGAGCAGCCAGGAGGGGAGGAAGTGGAGAGGTAGAATGGGGGCTGTTGCTGATTCCTGAGCAGGGATCACTGCTTCAAAGCCAAAATAAAACCCTGAATGGCTTCACTTTCGAAAACAGCCACCCACCAAATTCTAACTGTAAAGGAGCTTGGTTGAGGATTATAAACACTATGTTTGATGTTCACATCTACAGAAATAATTCCTTCGCCAGAAATGATAGCTCATACAGGATTATTTCAAACGGGTATCCTGGACCACTGTTTTAAAACATTGGCTCAACTGTATAAGACCACAGTACATAGTTTGGAGGTTTCTAAAAATAAAAGCCTTGCTTTGAAAACAAGTCCTATGGCTTCCTTTTCTTCTTCTCTTCTTCTCCCTCTAGGGTAGAAGTTGTGTAGCTTTCTGTCCTCTATTACTGAGTAGCAGGGCTGCCCAAGATTTGATTCCACTCAATTGCAAGGTAGAACACAATTCCCTCTTCCTGCGGGACAGGAACTCTGGGCCTGGCCTCATTATCTAGTTCAGAATCCTTAGAGCTCAAATCCAAACAATTCAGATCCCATCAGGCCAAAGATGAGCCCCCACTGCCACCAACACTAAAAAAGCTATTTAAAGTCAAATCAAAACCAAACAAGAAGAAAGTTTTTAATCAGAAAAAGAACCTTTTTAATTTGTATAATTTATTAGAAGCTTCTTAGGAACTATATTTAAGCCAAATATCTACATAAGTTACAACAGAAAAAGACTGACGCTGCAAATACCAAACTGCCAAATAATATACACAGATTTGTCAATGCCCTTAAAAAAATGAGGGACTGGGGATGGGGAGTGGGTTTCTTTTTACAACAAAATGTACAGATTACTAAAAACTATGAATTTGTCCAACTTTTGACAGCATTTTACAGCTACAAGTTCACATCAAACATAAAACAATTTTCCAGAGGGACGGTCTGGGGCTGAACCTATAGGGCCAGAGGGCGTCTGGGAGGAGGCACTTCCTTTGTGTCAGTGACAAGTGGGTTATGTCCAAGAATCTTTCCTCTCCCCAGCACCCGTCCTCCCTTCTTAAAAAAAAAAAAAGAAAGAAAGAAAGAAAAGAAAAAGAAAAGAAAAAGAAAAAAAATCTGGTATTTACAAGAGAGCCCACTTTGCTGTCAGAGTGTACCCACAGTGAAGTTTGAGATCTTTATAGAGTCCAGAGCCATACCAGTGTACAGCCCTCTCCAAACTGTGCCCCGCCCCAGCGTGGGAAATCAATTTGAATCGCGGAAAAAACACCCCAGAGCTGTTCTTTCTATGTCCTTCTATGTTTAAAGACTTCGTAAAGAATTGAATTTGCTTGGTTGATTTTTATTTTCTTTTTCTTTTTTAAAAAAATCCACAAATTTAGAAAGAAAGGAAGAGGGGGGAAAAGACGTCCAGCAGTTTGGCCTTTGTGTATTTTTCCTCGGTCTAAACGCGGACAGGTTCTTAAGAAAAGTAGAAGCGCGTGGAGCAGCGGGTGTATGGTGGTCTGTGTGGCGGGCAGAGGGGAAGCGGTGAGGCAGCGCGCCAGGCTAAGGCGGGCGGAGCGTCCTCTCACCAGGTCCGACCGTATAGCAAGGTGGAGCAGGACATGGTGCCGTAGTCCGAGCCTGAGGAGTTCAGGTGGGACAGGCTGGAGACCTGGCCCTGCAGCGCTGCGGGACTGGCTGCGTGGTGCGCCAGGTCCGGAGACTGGCCTGCGCTGCCAGGCTGGTGGCCCGGGTGTGCCCCCAGGCCCGCGCCACCGCTGCCGACCGAGATAGCCGCTGCTGCCGCCTGGGCGGCCTGAGCCTGCTGCTGCGCCTGCTGTTGTGCGTGGCCTTGTAGACTGGCGGCGCCCGGCGCCTGGGCGCCAGCCTGGCAGGGTTTGCCGTCTTTCACCAGGACCGGCACTGCCACACGGCGCGGCGACTGCTGCTGAGCCTGCTGCTGTTGTGGGCAACCGGCGCCCCCGCCGCCGCCCCCGTCCTGCTGCAATTGCTGTTGTGCTGCTTTGTCCTTGGCTTGGCGCTTCATTTTGTAGCGGTGATTCTGGAACCAGATCTTGACCTGCGTGGGTGTCAGGTGGATCATGCTGGCCAGGTGCTCGCGCTCCGGCGCCGACAGGTATTTCTGTTGTTTGAAGCGTCGCTCCAGCTCGTACACCTGAGCCTGGGAGAAGAGCACCCGGCGCTTCCGCCGCGGCGCGCTGGGCAGCGGGGCCATATTCTTGCTCACGTCCCCCAGCGAGCCCAGGCCGCCCATGCCGCTCATGTTCATGCCGCTCGCCGGGCCCATGAAGCGAGAGACTGTAAGCGACAAACGCACAGCGTCGGCTGGGACCGGGCGGGTTCAGGCCAACCCTACCTTCAGCGCCCTTGGCCCACCCGGTCCAACCCCGACGGCGCCCTCCTCACCCAGGCCTACTGCTCGGCTCCAGAGGTCTAGCCGCGCCGTCGAAGGAGCTCGCGGCTTCAACCCTGGCTACCCCCCCCCCTCGGAACTCTTTTTTGACTCAAAAAGCGTAGTGGGGGAAAGGCCGCTCCTGCTCCTTTTGTGCCCAAGCCCGGTGTGAAGCACAGTGTTAGCCCGCCACAGGCAGAGGACAGAGCTCAGAGCCGGAGTTGGGGTCCAACAGTAGACCCCAACTTTGGGAAGTAACAAGAGCAGAGTGTTCACTTCAGAAACTCAAGCCCCCAGACGTTTTGCCTCTGCTGTCGGTCCCAGTGAAGGCACCAGCTCAGCCCATTTAGAGCCCCCTGCGGAACCGCGCGCCCTCTTCCCTGCCCAGACTCTGCTAGAAAGCGGGCCAGGCCGGGCGCCTAAATGCGTCCCAGCAGGGCGGCCTAGCTCCTGGCCAGGCCTTGCCTCTCCATGCTCTGCTCACCCTTGCTCCCTCAACTCGGGGGTGGCTTTGATCGGTTCTCAGAGGTCTTAGGCGCGCAGCAGAGCTGCCAGTTAGCCGCGCCTGGAGATGCTTAGTAGAAGCACCTGTTCACAGGACCAGCGCTACCAAGTGTCTCTTCTTGGATCCCCAGCCCAACAGAAGGAAGAATCCCCAACTCCTGCACCCATCTCCCTGGCGCCGCTGCCAGGCTGCCCACCCTGATGCCTAGCTCTCAGCCGGACCCCTCCACGCCTCCTGTGCTCAGCCCGCGGCCCCGCAGTGGGGCGGCCTCACTTACTGGCGGGGAAGCGCGGGTCTGGGTTGGCGCCGTACCATCCGGGGCCGGAAGCGCTGTTTCGCATGGTGTCCTGGTAGGGCGGCAGCTCGCTCATGTTGCCCAGGTTGCCGTTGCAGTAGCCCCCCACAGCGGAGTGCGAGAGCTGGGGCACCCCCGCCGCCGTCATGTGGTAGGCGGCGGTGACGGCGCCGTGGTGCCCCACGGCGTGCTGCTGCATAGCCGCGGCCGGCGGTGCCGCCTGGCCCTGCCTGTACGCCGCTAGCGGAGCCCCGAGGCCGCCGCCCTCCATGCCCACTTTCTTGTAGCTTTCCTCCAGGGGACTCAAGATGTCAGACACTGAGAACGGAGTCGTGTGCTTTGGACTCATCGACATGATTCGGCGGCGGCTGGAGGAGGAAGGAAGAGGAGGAAAAAAAAGGGAGAGGGGGAAGGCGAAGCTTCGCTACTTTTTTTTTTTCTCCCTTTGCCAAATATTCTGGTGTTACCTTAACGCCGATCTTGTTGGATGTACACGTAACGGAGTGGACCGAGTCCGCCTTAATTGGCTTGAGTGGAGGCTCGGGGGCTGCCTCGCGTTTGTTTTAGCCCGGCGCCAGGTTTTAGGCAGCCACCAGAGGCGGGGCATAAGCGCTAAAGCAACAAGACAATAGAAGCCTACATCTTGCCCGAGATAATTAGCTTACATGCTGATGACAAGGTAAACACCTTTAAGTTTCACTTGTCAGGATTTTTAGGTCTCAAAGAGGGAGGGAGGGACAGAGAGAGAGAGAGAGAGAGAGAGAGAGAGAGAGAGAGAGAGAGAGAGA